TATTCATTGAGGCAGACTCAAACCCAGAGCTGACACATAAAGCTAGTCTTACTGAAGGGCCCCTTTGGTCGAAGACACCTTAGGCACAGACCATACCCAAACACAGACACCAGTTTCCAACACTCCAAAAATCACTGCAGGAGTGATTTTTAAGGAGAAAAAGACAAAGTCCTTGCTAGGGTAAATTGGTAAGTCCTGATTGTTGGTAAGTGTGACCAAATAAGGAATGTTGATAATTGGACCTTTTTCAGTCATCTTCAGGGATGAGGAAGTGGCCAAGTAAGGGAATCTAGTGGCTTAGCACCAGGAAAAAAAAAAAAAAAAAAAGAGGGTAAGGGCAGCCTGCCAAAGCCATGTTTGGTCTGGTTAGAGAGAGACAGAAGACAGTGGGACAGCATAGGAGAAGAGTAAGAGGGGATGGTTGGAGCACCCCAGAAAAAGAAAGAAAGAGCAAGAAAAGGGAGAGAGAGAGAGAGGTAATAGAGAAGAGATGGGGGTTGTCTTTTCTCCCAGGTGTTAGCAGGTGATGACATCAGAGGTTGCTAGGCAACCTAGCCTAACATTCCTCCCTTTTTATTTACTTAAAAACAGCAAATTTTTGAAATGGGGGGGGAGAGAGAGAGAAGCAAGAACACAAAAACATCCAGATTTCAAGGTGAGAAAAAGAGAAAGCCCCTGTCCTGGAAAGTTCAAGGTAGAGGGTGGGTTTCGCCACCCATGCCCAGCAGCAGGTAGAAACCTGACACTGGGGATCCCCTGTCTCTGCCTATTTCTTCTGAGGATGAAGGTAAAGCAAGTACACAGGGCATTTCATGGATTTCTGGGGAATGCAAACTCCAGTCCTCACACTTGGCATTGCACATGCTTTAACCATTGAGACATCTTCCTAGTCCCTATTCTGTAGGTATTTTGACACTTTAATTTAATCATATTAGAAATAATTAGCCATTTTGACCATGTTATGCTTTTAATTGGTTTTTACATTTATGACTTTTTAAAACATTTTTTATTTTATCTTAAAGATGCATTTATTTTAGTGTTTGAGATTTTTGCCTGTGTATATGTGTGCCATAAGTGTGCCTAGTACCCACAGAGGACAGAAGAGAGGCTGAAATCCCCTGGGCCTGAAGTTCAGATGGTTGTGAGCTACCATGCAGATGCTAACCAGAATCTGGGCTCTCTGTAAGAGCAGCAAATGCTCTTAACTACTGAGCAGTCTTTCTAGCCTCCTTTTAAATGTTCAGGCTTACCAATCTCTACTTTTTAATGAGTGATGACATTTTGGCATTATCTACTTTGTTTCAATATTGCTATCTCTTAAGACACACATTTTCTAAGTTCACTAAATGTTATCAAATCAATTATTCTCAAAGACATTACACCCTATGGTGTATTAAACTTTTTCTAAGCCAATATCTTGCATTAGTGAATTCTTCCAGTTCTGTCTAGTCGGTTATGGTATGAGAGCTCAGTGTTGTTCAATGCACATGTCTCTGGCTGGTAGCCAAATGGAACGTTTTTCCTGTGTTTACTGACGCTTCCTTTGTCTTAGTATTCTCATTACATAGAAGTGCTGTAATTGACTTCTCCCAATCTCTGGTCATTTTCAGTTCATTAATGGCATCTGTTTAATAACTAGAAGCTTTAACTAAACAACAAACAAGCAAACAAACACATTACTCTGTTTTATAGCTTCCAGTTTTTACAATTGAAAATAAAAGTCTTTCTTGCCTGAAGGTCTTTAAGCTGTTCATTTATAGTTATTTCTCCAAAGTTTAATGCTTTGTTTTTTCCATAACAGAGTCTTTGGAGTATGTGTTTCTACATAAAAAATTATGCCATTTGTGGTCTCTTTCCCTCCAATCTGCTATGGCAGAGCTGTCATCTATCAGGCCATCCCACACACGCGCGCGCACACACACACAGGCATATGCCCGAGGTGGTCTATGCTATTCATACCCTTTTCCTTGGAACTAGCTCCTCACTAGCTTTGTAAGAAGCTTTGTGATCTGTCGAGACAAGACCATTCCCCGCCACGACTCCCCGCCACACTCCAGTCCCTTGCTTTTCTAAAATTGGCCTCACTATTCAAAGCCTAGATTCTGTGTGTGCACAGGAACGATGTGATCTGACTCACAGTTTATAAAAGGACCGTGTCGCCTCTGGAGTAGAGAATGGTAATGTCAGAGAGAGGGAGCAAAGAATGGCCTGAGCTGTGTCCTTGAGTAGATGAGAGGGAAAATAAGAGGAACCTGCTTTGGAGAGCAACACACACCGTCTACAGTGAAAACAGCAGAATATTTAAGCGCAGGCTTTGGTGGGTGCGAGCAGCCATTGGTGTAGCAGCGTATCTGAGAAGAAACACTGATGTACACTGGTAGAAGGCTGGGATTCTCTCTTGGTCGCTTTTGTCTTCTCGGTCCCCATTTCTTGTGACAGCCTCATTGAGAAGATGCAAGCAACCAGGAGAGATTAAGATTTTTTTTCTCTCTCTCTCGCTCCTCCTCTCTCACTGTTTCTCTCCCTCTGCTAACAATTAACAGCACTTAGGCACCAGACAAGTGCACCCATATGCAGGCACCCATACACATTAAAAAAAAAAAAAAAAAGCAGATAAGGAGAAAAGACAGGGTAGAAAATTGTTTCTGAGGAACACAGGAAAACAACTAATTTCCTGGAAACATTAAGAGTTTGAGTGATACCAGGTGGTAGGGGCACATGCCTTTAACCCCAGCGCTTGGAAGGCAGAGGCAGGCAGATTTCTGAGTTCGAGGACAGCCTCATCTACAGAGCTAGTTCCACGACAACCGGGTCGTACCAGGTCTTTAATCTCAGAATTTGGGCATCAAGGACAAATGGATCCAGCCTGGTCTATACAGTTAGTTTCAGGTTAAGAGGGTTACATATTGAGACCCTGTATTAGAGAGGAAGGGAGAGAAAGAGGGAGGGTGAGAGCAGAGGGAGACGGTATTACTTTAAAACAAAACCAATCTACAGGTCTGTGTTTTCCTCCCCGTTATACACAGGTGAGGAGAATTGAGCTTAATCAAGGTTCTGCTTTACTGATTAAGTAAATAAAACAAAAGATGTTAACAATATTTATAAGTGTAGATGTTCCTTGATTTGCAATAAAATTATGTCCCAATTTTCATGTATATTGAAAATACTATTCAAATCACACATAATACACCAAACATAACGAACAATGTATATTCACAACACAGTGTACGTCAGAAAACTGGTTATTCCCCTTTGTAGTTGCATGGATCATGGGTCACTGTGGCTCAGTACCATGACAGATGGTATAGCATATTGATTAAACTCTCAGGACCTGTAATTGTTAATGGACACATGTTATTTTTATACATATAAACTAAAGAAGCCATAAAGTTGAAGTTTATAAGTCAAACCATTGTGCTAGGCTATTCTTCCTTATACATTCATATGTGTGTGTGTATAGCACCTGAGTATTAAAGGAAGTGATGATGATGATGATAAGTAATCTAAGCAAGATAAATGTATTAGCTTGTTTTCTACTGCTTTGATAAACACCTTCATTCCAAGGAGTAAGTGATGAAGGTACCTTGGTGGGTCTGGACTGAGGTGTGCCTCTAGGAGATCACACCATGCAACAGATTTTAATACAAGAGGTTTATTGGAGGAAGTGGGGAGGCAGTCTCAGACATGAGGGAGAGACAGACAGACAGACAGAGACCAGATGACAGGGAGATCGAGAAACCCTTTAAAGGCTGCAGACATCTCATGGGAAACTACGCGACTGGTAGGTACAGTGGAAACGCGCTGAACTTGGCAGCGGCAGGTGATGAGCCACTGAAGGTAGGCTGGGAGAATCACCTGATTCAGAACAATGACCAAAAGCAACTTGAGGAGAAAATAGTTTATATGGTTTACACCTCTAGATCTCGGTCTATCATTGAGCAAAGTCAGGGCAGGGACCCAAGCAGGAGCTGTGGAGGAAAGCTGCTTACTGACTTGCTTGTTAAACTCATGTTTAGCTACACCGCCCATGTTTTTTCTTTAAACCATCATATCTGGTGTATTTATTCATGTGTAAAACAATGAATTCAAATGAGATACAGAGAAACAATGTTTGTTATTAACAATTAGCAGGCACAGTTGATTACACAAAGAGGCCAAAATGCTTTATTAACTCTAGAATCCTTTGTGTTCTTAAACCAACTTCAGCTACCTGTTTTATATTTAATAGGACCATGTGCTCAAGGATGACACAGCTCATAGTGGGTCGTGCCTTCCCATATTGATCATTTATCACGAAAAGGCCACACAGACTTTCCATCAAGGCAATGTGAAAAAGCATTTTCTCAATTGAGGGTTCCTCTTTCCAGATTACTCTAGTTTGTGTCAAATTGACAGAAAATTAACCAGAACAACCAATGAATGAATTGAAGGCATGTAGGTAAAAACAATGAAAAAAGGAGGAATTGGTGGATTGGAAAGATCATGACTCAAGGAACTGTGAAATCATCAAGTTAGAGAAAGAGATGAGAAATACTAGAACAATGGGTTGTACTTCCTGACAAAGGTCAAGTTGTAAGCAAGGATCTTTTTAAAATTTTATTAATTAAATATTTTATTTATTTGTTTTATGTATGGGTGCTCTAGCTGCATGTGTACCTACATGCCAGAGAAGGACAGAGGGTATAGATGGTTGTGAGCCGCCAAGTGGTTGCTGGGAAAGCAGATGGTCCTCTTACCCACTCAGCCATTTCTCCAACCCCCTAAGAAAGGATCTTAATTCTTTCTCCTCATCCTCTTTGCTGGGGTTCATGCTCCATCATCTCTAAGAGACCCTGCATTTCAAAACCCTTCTTTCTTTCAAATTCAGATGGGTTTGGGAATGGCCAGTTTCTTCTCGGGATTTAAAACTAAAAACATGTTGTGTATAAAAATAATGATAGCCTTCGTGGAGGTTTGTATATAAGAACATTATGACTCACAGAGACATTTTCCCCCCACAGGTTTAAAAGGTTTGTCTACACTTACCGAATCTTCAGAGAGAAATATGGATATTACAATATACAGGTAAGATTACGTAAGGACTGCCACAACAATAGTGTGGGAATTAGGGAAAATGTGAGGTGACCTCTTGAATCTTTGATGTGACCCCACAGTGGCTTTTAAAAACAAGAGTGCCACACCACGTTAGACAAGCAGTGAGCTTTGTCTCTCTCTGAGAGAAATAGGCCAGTGCTAGAGTTGTGTTCCATGTTTTAGTAACCTGAATGCTCCTACAGACCATAGTGGCAGCCGAGCCCACCCCTGTAAACGTGGATCTAGGCTCCATTTAAAACTGTTGCACGTCTGGGCACAAGCATTTAATCCCAGCACTCAGGAGGCAGAGGCAGGCAGTTCTCTGTGTCTGAGGCCAGCCTGGACTACAGAGTTAGTTTCAGGACAGCCAGGGCTACACAGAGAAACCCTGTCTAAAATAATAATAATAATAATAATAATAATAATAATAATAATAATAATAATAAGAAGAAGAAGAAGAAGAAGAAGAAGAAGAAAAAGAAATTAAAACTTACTGAATAAGAAAACTAAACCATGTCCCAGGATGGGAGTGGAAAGGGCAGGTGGGAAGAGGCTCAGATGCTCAAAAGTGAAGCATATGCCCAGCAGTCTGAAAATAGAAAAGAAACCATTAAATAGCTAGAGGTTCTAGGGACTCCTTTAGTTTTTCTGGTTTACTGTGAACTCAACAGAAATATCTCTTTGCCTCTTTTGAATTTACTTGTCTGCTTCAAAAAGTAAGTACAACAAATATAATGGAATTCTTAACTACCGATATAAGATCCTAAAATATGTTCTGAAAAAACATCTTCAATATGCTTATGTTCACTGTGAATATCCAAAAGAGATTAGAACATGCAAAGACCCCTAAAATACTTCAGCATCTATTTTTTTTTCTTTTGCTGTAGAAGACATCCTTGAGGCAGTTGGTAAAACTTGAATTAGTTTAAAATTCAAACAAGGCTGGCAATTAGTACTTCGCAAAAGTTAATATTTCTCGTTATAATATGGTGGTGCAATGTCTTTGCCTTATGGACCACTGAAGAACTTAGAATTAGTTAAAGAAACATCACGTCTTCAACTTAACATCTCAAATGTTTTCGAGTATTTTGGAGGATTATAATATATGATTTTATTTAACATACAATGTATAATATGTTATGTATTATATATCATATATATTTTATATATGTAATATAAAATAGAAAAATGCACAGCTGTTTGAAAATAGAAAAGAAGCCATTAAATAGGTTTTAGGGACTCCTTTAGTTTTTTCCCCAGGGAAAAGCACAGCAAACTAGTTATTGACTACCAAATGGTCAGCCCTAGAAACATTTTTTAAAAAGAATATACATATGTAAACTGACTGTGATTATTCATGCCTGGAATCCTGGCACTTAGGAGGTTAGAAGCAGAGAGATCAGAAGTTCAAGATCATCCTCAACTATTTTTGGCTAGCTTGGGCTACATGAAACCTTCTCTCAAAAACAGAACAAAAATATACATATATGTGTGTTTGGTTTGTATGTATATATACATACACAGAAAACACATATATATGCACTCATATATTTTAGAGAAAATAAAGAAGCAAACAAATAAAATATACTATTATATAGAATGTAAATGGAGAATGTATTTTACTTTTACTATTTTTTTTTCAGTTTGTCTACCTCTGAAATCATCTCAAAGTAAAATGCCTTCTAAAAGCTGACCATTTTGAAACATATTTTTTTTTTCTTTTTTCTTGTATATGTTGGGGAATTCTGGATATTCCCTAAGAACCCGTTTTGTCCCTTTTCTGAACAAAATGGAGAGCTCCCCACACAGCACGGGACTCAGCTACAGAGGACCCTTGGGCTGGGGCAGGCTTTGCACTCACAGGCCTGCTGTGGGTGATGCTTCGAGCTGAAGCGACCCCTTTAAAGGAAGGTTCACAGAAGCGCTCATCTCTGCTAGGGAAGTTAAGCACACACTTTAGAAAACCTGCCGGTCATCCAAGCATCTCTGTTGGCCGATGCTAGGGTCATAGAGCCACCATAGTGATAATTAAAAAATAAATAAATAAATAAAAAGCACAAAAGAGCAGGGAAAGAAAATTCCTTTTGCTTCTAAATTCCTTCTGCAAGGTCTTATCAGAAAAGAGGATTTTTTTTTCCTCTAGCTGCGAAACAGAAAACAAGTCTGTGGTTTCACTCAGTCACAGTTGACACCCTACCCTCAGTATAAACTGGGGTTTGTCTCTCTTGTTTGCACCCCATGGAGAGTCCACATGCGTCTCATAGGTCAGTTGCATATTTTGCATTTTCTTTGAGGAGTCCCCTAACTCAGCAAAGGCCAGCAGCATGGCAGAGTCTAACGTAAGTCGTGGGAGGGTGGGGGGCTGTTAACAGTGGATCTACAGTAAGAACCACCCCAGACAAATTGCTGAGGATAGGGCTCACTCACTACAGTGAATGAGTTAGAAGTCCTCTTTATACAGGGTAGTTGGGGTGAGAGGTTCCCCTTCAAAACAAGGAGCGTCTATGACAAGCTGCTGGTGAGAGCGCTTGGCCTGCGCTGCTGGCCTCTTACTTTCCACTTGTCGACTCTTAAAGGCAGCACTAAAAACCACTGTTGCAAGAAGGGTTTCGTGTTACCCACAGGTGCGCAACGAAGAGTGATCTTTCTTATGTCTTTGCAGACCAAGGAAGGTTCTCCAAAGCAGATCTTTCCAAACCTAGAGGAACTGGTCTCCAAATACGAAAAACCAGGCCAAGGACTGGTTGTTCACCTTTCAAACCCAATAATGAGGAAGAGCTTCTGCCCAAGAGAGAGATCAAAGTTAGAGTTGAATGTTTATGGTAAGAGCCCTGACATGGGGTCAGAAGAGACCTAACCCCGTGTCCACCCGTGGCCTACCCTTCCAGGTCAATGGAAGTCAGTGTCTTGTTCTATGACATTTCTCTAAAGAGCTTCACCCTACTAAGTGTAATTCCTACTGTGCTGGGAAACAGCATCTTCTAGCCCATGCATGTGGTCAAGACAAAGAGCTGTCTGGGCCAGACAGTCAGGAAGGAGAGGGTGAAGGTCCTGGGCCAAACACTGACTTTGAGTTTATTCTGTAACCATGTGCAGTCCACTCAACTTTGGGGATGAACGCACATATGGGTAGGTTTTCACTGAGAAAATGGTGTCAAATCATCTGCCAAGGCTCGTTCCGTTACAGGTTGCTCCATTTTTGCTAAGCATTCATTTATAAAATGATCAGAGACAAATGATTTCACATGTATCCCTAAAGGTATGAAGCCATCGAGAGGCACGAGGGATGGTCAGCACGCACAAAGCAAGTCCATTCACACAACTCTCAGATCATGTCAGGAGCTTACCCTTCCTTACCTTCGTCAGCTACCCATGGCAGTGACTTTCTGAATTAAACACAGGAGCTCGGAGACATTTCTGGTCCCATCCAATTTCTCATGATGAAAAATGTCTGGTTTCATTCTCCGTGAGAGGGATTGCAGCTGTCTGTGGGCAGCAAAGGTGATGGCAGCAGATCTGATGAGAGGGCATAATTTCTCAGGGAGCTGGCAAACATCCATCTCCACGCTACTATGTGTGAGAAAAGTTCCTCTTTAGGCACAGTAAGCTTCTCTTTTCCCTAAAAAGATTTGTGTGGAACTTTAATGATTAAGATTAAACCTGCCAGGCCGGAGAGATAGCTGCTCTTCCAGAGGCTCTGTGTTCATTTCCCAGCAGCCACATGGTGGTTCATGACCATTTGTAATAGGATCTGATGCCCTCTTCTGGTGTGTGTGAGGAGAAAGCACTCATATACATAAAATAAATAAATAAATATGTAAACATGTTTTTAAAAAAAATATAAAAACCTGCCCCCTACTGCTGTTTTAATGTCCATTCACCACGATTCATTCAGGGATTGTGTGGCTGTTATAATCAGATCATTTTCTGTAGTTCCAGCCACAGATACAGCCCCACTGCCCCTTTCCAACAAAATTTACAAAATTAAGAAGTATTCAAAGGGTATGGGAAATAGCCCAGTTGGTAAAGTGCTTGTCAAGTGTAAGGACCTGAGTTTGATCCTTAGAAATGATGGCTTTTGGAAACCTGTACATGGTGCACATGCTTATCACCCTAATGATGAAGAGGAAGGGACAGGTAGATTCACTGGGGCTCCCTGAATGTCAAAGCCAGAGAGCTCCAGGCCAGAGGAAGACCCTGTTTCAAAAAAATAAGATACAGGAAACCTGAAGAACAACATATGAGGTTAACCTCTGGCCTCCACACACAAAAGCACCCATGTGCATAAGTACCTGCACACAACACACACACACACACACACACACACACACACACACACACACACACACAC